CAGCTGAGTCACCAGGGATGACAAAACAACACACACACACACACACACACACACCACAAGCACAGACACACACACACACATACCACAAGTAGACACACCCACACATATACCACAGGCACAGACACACATATACCACAAGCACACACACACACACACACACAGACAGACAGACACACACACACCAGAAGTAGACACAGACACACACACATATACCACAAGCACAGACAGACAGACACACACACATATATCACAGTCACAGACACAGACACCCCCCCCCACACACACCACAAGCACAGACACACACACACACACACACACACACACACACACACACACACACTCCCTCTGGAGCACCATCCTTTCTCTCCTGGCCTCTGCACCTGTGATGATCCTTCTTGGCCTATGACTAGATGAACAGAGACGGTGCTGGAGGGACCTGATTTCTGCAGCCTGAGCTGTGGCTTGGACAGGTACCTAGTGAGCACCAGGGGCAGAGGATTCCAGGCCTGGAGGCACCTGCAGATCTCAACCCACCTGCTCATTCTTTAAGGCAAGAACTCAGCAAGGCTCCAGGTTACCAGCTAGTTAGCACAAGTATAGACAACTAACAAGAGGGCCTAGAGCTGTGGGGGATAGGGAGAGGGTAAGGTCAGTTACCCTCAAATAGCTCACAATACAAGACAGAAAGCTACCACACAAATTTCTCTGTGAATAGACCAGAGAAAACATCCCTACAGAGGGGATGTTGGGGTGTTGGTGTTAATTTTACGTGTGTGTGTGTGTATGTGTGTGTGTGTTTGTGTGTGCATCCTTCCCAAGGACGACCTGTGGGAGTCTGCTGTCTCCACCGTGTGGGCTCTGGGGGGTCAACCCCAGGCCATTAGGCTTGATGGCAAATGCTGTAACCTGCTGGTAGAGCCGTCTTGGCATCCCGGAGCTGCGTTTTTAGGTCGGGGTAGATCACTGTGGGCAGAGAGCACCAGGCTCATGAAGGGCCTGTTTTCCTGAGATGGGAGGTGAGTGTGTTCAGGCAGTGGCAGGTTGCCTTGTTGGGAGGACAGGCGCAGGGGACTTCAGAGTAGATGGGGACTCCTCTCAGCACTAGTGGATGATAGCAGTCCCGCCCGGATCAAGAGGCCTTGGCCCCAGCCCTGAATGAACCTGGAGGAAGGACACTGGGGCCCCTACCTCTGCTGGGTTACCTATGAGCTAGACCATCTGCCAGCCAGGCAGGCTTTCAGGATGGAAAGGAACGAGGGGCGTTTTATGCTGCAGGCTGGGAAGCCTGGCTCTCTGCTGGCTTAGGCCCTGGCTCAGTTCAGCTTTGGAGGGAACAACTTTTCATCCTGGTGCACGACAGTTGCTAGACGTGCTTTGTCTTGATTCGTAGAGGCTTTTGAATTCTCTGATGCAGCTAGCCCCTTCACGTGTCTGACCCATCCTTTAGACAAGCCAGGAGCCGGCTCCTTCGGGGTTTCCCTGTGGGCACCGAGGCACATGGGCTCTGTGCTTGTTGGGCATCTGGTCCTCCAGGCTGCAACTGACTGCTTTGACACCCCGTTCTCCTAAATAGTCCTGGCCAACGGTGGTCACATCTAGGGGCTCATCCCCGTGTCTAGAGGGCCCTCGGTTCCCTCAGCATCTCTGAGAGTCCTCAACACCCCTCTTGCAAGAGAACTCAGCCTTTAAGGAGGCGGCTCTTCGCACAGCTAGGCTCTGACACAGGAGACAGACCCAGTGTCGGTCTGGGATCCAAGTCAGTCCGTGGGGCTGTGATCTGAGTCCTGTACCCCTTGGAAGGTCCTGCCTTCCAAACGGACAGACAGAGGCGGCCGCTCGTGAGAGTGCTGCGAGGTGAGAGGAGGCTCGGATACCTCTGATCCTGGGCAGGGGTGATTCACCTACAAACGCTCTCCTGCTACCACAGAGCTTGGGCGACCGATGCGATGCGCGTGCCCGCCATCGCAGATGCGCCCCAGCTGTCACTCCGCCGCGCGCTCTCCTCCCTCTGCTCGCTCGCTGTTGAGCACGCGCTCTCTGCTCCCTCTGCCTCTCCCCCTCTTCGGTCTGTCTTCCTCCCGCCCTCCTCCCTCTTTCGCTTCAGTTTGTCGCTGACCCCGCAGCCCCCTCCCCGGCAGCGACAGCTCAGCCTGTGGGTCCGCTTCCTTGGCAGGCGCTGCCCAGGCTCCCGCTGCCCTGAACCAGACCCGACACCCCGCGTTCTGCCTTCCAAGCTGCCCATGTCCAGCTACCTGGTCTGAGCATCAGGTCCCAGTGCAAAAAGGTGAGTTGTGAGCAGTTTCTGGGAGAGAAAGAGCCGGCGCAAAAGGAGGATGGCTTGGGTATGGGAACTAGGGGCCATCTACATTGGGCCACCTGGATTAGCAGGCTTAGCAGGGCTTCCTTCCTAGGGCAGTTGCTGGGGTGGGGTGGTGGTGGGGGACCAGATACTTAGGACCAGACACCTGGGCAACCCAAAGGTACAGAGCATTAGGAACTCTGACCCCTCAGTGCTGGGGATATAGCTGTGTTTTCTGCTAAGGAGGGGTTAGGGAGAGGGGGGCAGGGAGGAGAACAGTTCTGGTGCCACATGATGGCACCGGGTAGCACGGAAATGTCCCTGCAGCAGGAGGAGCGGCTACCAGAGGAGAGGGAGACAGCTTGGGTGTTGGAGACAGGCTGGTATACAGAGAGGCTTGGAGTGGGGGTGGAGGGTGGAGGACCCACTGAGGGAGGCAAGGGCTGGACCTTTCTTGCTCTGGCTGGGTTTGCTGGCCTTCAGGTAGCTGTCCTTGGACAAGGGTGCAAAGGAGCCCTTGCTAGTTGAGACAGTCTTTGCAGTCCTGACGGAGCCCTCCCTGGTGGGGGTGTGGCTGGGAGTGAAGGAGGGGTATCTGCTAGTTCTTCCTTACAAACCCAGGCCTTGATTTTAGCACACTCAAGAGCCAGACGAGCCAGGAACTGGAGATGCTTAGGTGGCCTGCCGCTGCATAATGGCCTTTGCAGCAGGTGGGCCAGATGCCTTAGGAGCGCCGGGCACTGAGTGTAGGGGGCAGTGTACAGCCAGGTCACATTCACCTGGCTGCCTGGCTCTCATGGGCATGGATGCCCGACTCGGATCAGGACATTGGTTTTCAGGAGCCCCAGGCCCATTTCATAACGCTGGATTCTGCCCAGGAATCTGCAGTTCAAATTCCTGTATGGCCGGCAGGTCTGGGGCTGGGCTCTGATTGGTTGCTCTGCCTCCCACCCCCAGCTGTCTGCATTCCAGGGTGGTGGTGGGCATGTTGGCACCAGGCTGCCAGGGTTTGTTGGGCATTGCCTTGTGTGACTCAGATTGACAGGCCCGCAGCTTAGATAACTACAGCAGGTGGGGGGAGGGGAAGGAGCCAGCATGTGGCACTGGGCGGGGGAAGTCCAGCTGGTAGGGAAATCCAACATCAGCTTCCAAGCTGCCAAGAAGAGCCCAGCGCTCCCACCCCCACCTTCCCACCGCAGGAGGGCTCTGGCTCTGCCAGAAGAGGGAGCCGGGGAAAACCGGGCAGGGCAGGCAAAGAGGCGGGCTTCTTAAGCCCCCTCGTTGTGTTCTTTGAGGTTTGACTAGAGGACTTGTCTGGTTCCCCTTTTCTCAGGACAAGCTTACCCTGTTCTCACTTCCCCGGTGCCAAGACCCAGAGCAGGGTCTTGCTTTGGTCAGGTGGGTGTTGAGGGAGGGAGCTGGAATGGGTGGTGCGTGTGTGTGTGTGTGTGTGTGTGTGTGTGTGTGTGTGTGTGTGTCTGTGTGTTGCCTGTGTCTCTCTGTGTGTCTGTATGTGTACAATGCTGGGAAGAGGAGGGAGTCAGGATGAAGCTTGGGTGTGGGTTAGGTGATCCTTCTTGGCTCCTGCCCAGGGAGGCAGTGAATGGTGGGAACCTTCTGGGTCCTTCCTCAGTGGACTCTTCAGCTTCCCAGAGCAACCTAGGAGTGTGCTGGGTGACTCAAGGGCCTTCCTGTTCTGCTTCCCAGGGATTCTATCAGAGACAGGGAGAATTTGATAAGGAAATGTGGCTCAAGAAGCTGGAAGCAAGAAGACAGTGTACTGAGAGGAACCTGGAAGAAGGGTGTGTGGCCGTTCCAAGCAGACATCTAGAAGGGGTTAGAAACTGCTTTACTGGGCAGTGTGTGCTTAGGGGTGACGGGTGGGGCAGATGTGGGGTGTTTCCTAGAAGGACCTCATGGCCAGGCAGGTGACAGCAACCCAGTTTCCTGTGTTCTGGGCTACATGGAATTCCAGTTGCTCAGACCAGATGTCCAGACTCCCTGGAAGTCCTCTGAGATGGGGCAGGATGACTTGTGGGCTTACTGTCCTAGCTCAGCTACCCTCTGGCCCTGAGCCTCCCTGAGGAACAAAGGAGTAGAGTAGACCACACATGCCCCTTTGCTTCCCTCCTGGTGTGTGGAGCTGGGGCCCTGGGGCAGAAGCCTTGACCCAGGGGAGACAGATACTCGGGAGCATGTGCACAGCACTGGCCCAGGCGTCAGGAAGCTGAGAGCATGGACAGGATGCATGTTGTGGACACTTGATTTGAGGGGTACTGAGAAGGAGCTCAGAGGACCCTGTGGCTCCCAGGCCTGGGGTGAGGGTTCTTTTGTTTTTTGTTTGTTTTTGGTTTTTAGTTGAGTGTGAGCCCACATCATAGGGAGAGTAGGCCTCCAACTGTAGGAGAAATTGGAGGGCAGGTACACTCCGTCATCCTAACCTTGACGCTCTGCAGAGCAAGCCTGGCTGGCTGCTTCAAGCTGGGGGAGGGGGCAGCTGGGGTTCCAGGGGAACCAGCTCCCACGCCCTATCTCTAGTGGGTAGAGCAGCCGCTGGGCTAGCAGGAACACGAGGCACTTCTGCCTGCACCTTGCTACTGCCTCACCTGCCTGCTGCTCCAACCCTCCACTCCCCGGCTGCCCTACAACCTCCATCCGCTCTCGGCCAGGAGTGGTTTTCTAGCTTTCTTCCAGCCTCTGGGTAGGATGGGGACAGGGATGGCTGTTTGCTCAGCTCCAGTGAAACAGCGATGAGGAGATGCCTTATAAACTGTAACGTTCTATATGAACGAGGGCTGTCTGTCCCTGTTTCTGACTCAGCCTCTACCCGAGGGACGGGGCTCAGGCAGAAGATGATGAGGGCAACCGAGTTAGCAGCTTTGTGGCCAGGTAACTCAGGTCCAATCTATAGTCTTCCATTTGCCCAAGCTTTTCCATGCCTCAGTTTCCCTATGACATCGATAGCAACTCTAACCCTGAGCTGTATGAACGCCAAGAACACTGTAGTTCTTTGACTGTGGCCGTTAGCATCCTTCCATGTAAAGGCTTGCAGGAGCTCCTCAGGTTGGTGCTCTTGTCTTGCCCTGCCTTAGGCAAGGTTAGTTAAGATTTTGGGTGAGCCCCAGACTTAGTTTTCCTTAATAGCTGTCATTTTCGGTCCCAGCTCCTCCAGGCTCACTGTATACAGCCTATGGTGTCTCCCGTTCCCTGGCCTAGAGGTGGGTAGCTGTTAGAGCCTGCCTGAGAGGTCTGGTCTACACTTGAATATGTCCCCGAACTGCCTGGGATCTTGGTACCTGACAGATTCACACTTAGCCTGCCTGGGTGGGACCTGAGATTCAGCATTTCCGAAAGGTTCTAGGCTTTCTGATCTTATTTAGCCCCTCAGAGTCAAAACCACATGTTTCCGACTTATCAGCTCCTAGCTGATCAGCCCCATTCTTCCCCGGAGCCTGGAGGAGTCCAGGGACCCTGCTGGGACCAGCCCTGTCCCTCTGCTCTCTGTTTCTGGGGCTAGGACAAAATGCAGGTTAGTTTTTGGAGCAGATCCTGAATCTAGTGCCCATGAGCTTCAAGATGTGTGTGTGTGTGTGTGTGTGTGTGTGTGTCTGGACAGAGAACCCTTCTGCCAGGACCTCCAACCCTCTTCTGTCTCCATGGAGTGTTAATTTATTCCAGCAGTTGGCTAGTCCCTGCAGCAGCAGCTGTCCGCTGCTTCCCGATGTAGGTCACCCCTTTCCTGAGGAGTCTCTGCTGTTTCAGGGCGGAAGGGTCTTTCGCTGGGAGGTGTCTGAGTGGACTTAGGGTGGCAAGGCTAGGGAGTGCCCCTCCCCCACGTCTCTCAGAGGATCAGGAAGGCACTGACATCACCTTGGAGGCCACTAATCAGGGGAGGTAGATCAGCTACCTAGAGAGAGCCGGGGCATCTTCTCCTAGGCATGTCCTCTTTTCTCCAGAGGATGGATACCAGTCACCAGGGTCCTTCCTGCCACCTCAGTAAACAGCACCCCAGTCTGTGCTGGTTATGAATGGCCCCTGAGCATTGTTGCAGGGTGGCCATGAGGGGGCAGATTGGGAGGAAGAGCCTTCCTTCATGGACCCTCAGGTGGAGGTCAACCTCCGCAGCCTGGCGTCCCCTGTCCACAGAAAGGGAGCAGGAGCTGGCCGGGGGCCTTCAGCCCTACCTCAACAAGAAAACAGGCCTGGCTTTGCGGCTGCCTTGTGGGGCTCTTAGCAGATCTTCCCTCCAGGCTGGAAGTGTCCCCGTGTCCCCCTGCTGGGGCTATGCTGGAATTGTGAGGCATCCCTCTGCTGCCTGAAGGATGACAGCTAAGACGTGCTGGAATGCTGCCAGCGAGGCATGTGTATGTGTGTGGGTGTGCATGCATGGGCCTCTGTATCCCAGCTCATGCCTAGATGCACCGATCTGGTACTTGTGTGTGGGAGTGCATGTGTGCAAGCACACGTGTTGTGATATGCTTAGTCGCACATCTCTCCTTATGTGCCCGCCTCACTCTGCTGCATACAGCACTTCAAGGCTGTGTCTGAGAGTTCTGTGCACACACAAGTATTTCTCCACTAGGGCCCCTGCAGGCTGACAGCCATCAGGAAGCGGGTAAACAGTCTGACTCAGAGCCTGTAACCCATCCTCACTTACCATGTAACCTTGGTGAGCTGGTTATAGCTGTGCATTTGGGTGACTGTAATCTGTGGTTAACAGGTGCTGTGACCTGTGGTGTGACTGATGAGGGTTGGGGCGAGGGGGCCATCGTGGGAGGCAGACTGCTCAGACAGCAGGTCTGCTTGGGCATTGCACGTGAGGGGCAGAAATAAACCCAATCAGACTATGGCGAGCACGACATGGAATGGGCACCTGTGACTGGCCACAGCCTGCGTCAGGCTCAGGCATCTGTGAGACTGACCTCGCTTGATGACAAAGACACCCGTCATGGGCTCAAGGCAAGGTGGGAGCCTTTGCCAAAATTCCTTAGGTGATGTGTACCTCACACGTGCTCACTCTGTTTCCACCCACCGAGCATCAGATTGTCACTTTTAGCGTTGGAAGGCTGGGGCAGAGCTTAAGCAGTGTGTTGGAAGGAGATGGAGGACATGGATTTGAACCCACAGACTCTGCCTGTGAGTCTGAGCCAGGACAGTACTAGGAAAACCGAGGTCAAGCCACTGTAACCACTGAGTGCCTGGGCCCACATACGGCAGCGAGGGCCAGGCTGCTACCCTTTCGCCTACGGCTGTGCTGAGTTACAGCCATGCTCAGTTTTGGGGAGCAATCCCTGCTGTTGCTTCCTAACTGGGAAGTAGGGGGGCAGTGAAGTCAAGGCTGGCAGATGGGCACTGAGCCAGCTGCCCTTGCTGGGAGCAGAGCAGAGTATCTGAGGGCCGCATGGGTCACAGCAGCACAGGCCGCCTTGGTGGCTTCCTGATGATCACTAGGGTAGGATGGAGTGGAGGCAGAGAATAGAAAATGGGGTTAGGCATTGTGGCGCACGCACGCCTTTAATCCCAGCACTTGGGAGTCAGAGGCAGGAGGATCTCTGTGAAATTGAGGACAGCCTGATCTACGTAACAAGTTCCAGGACAGCCTGGGCTCAAACAACAAAGAAAACGACAGCAAAATGGGGTTAGGATGGGAGAATGCACTGGGAGCATCCCCCAGACCAGACACCCGAAGGAAACTTGGGTCGGGCTGCTCAGGCTTCTAGACAGAATCCCCGAGCATCCTGGCAGCTCCACTCACCTCCTCAGTGTCAGCTCCACCCTGCCATTGGCTGGGAGCTCCAGGACTAAACGGAGCTGTGAGGGCTGCAGCCAGAACTATACAGGGGCCATGAACTAGGTAGTCAAAGGCGGCCAAACTTGCTGCCGCCATCCTGTGAGGAGTGGTTCCAGGGAACAGCGCCCTTTGGGCACTAAAGGGAGCTGGGGTATAACACAGCCTCCCCTAACTGACCCTTTCCTGGTTCCCACTGACCCTAGTGTCTTACGGTGGTGCTAGCCTCCTCTCTGATGGAGATGGCAGGGTGCAGGCTCTGGCTTCTCATCTCATAGCTCTTAACCACGTCTGGGGCCAGCTGAGGTGCTAAGGAGGCCTGGGTCCCCTTTAGGAGACACTGGGTTGTGGCAGGCCCTAGCAAGGGTAACTAGGCCCACTTGTCCCCTGGAAGAGTGATCTGCTGCCTACACCTAGCCGCCTTCCAGCCCTCTGCCATTTCACCCCCTCTAGGCTTCAGTCTCTCCTGAGCCAGCGGCCCAAGAGCAGGAACCTCTGAGCTGAAGAATCGGCTAGTCGGCAGAAGACGGATCATTGTGAGTCACCTCAAGGTGACAGTGGGATCAGGAGCAGGGGGCCACCCAGCAGCTCACACCCTGTCAGCAGGCACTACGAGGGGCGGGGCCTGGCCTCTGTCTCCCCACAGTTATGGTAAGCTGGGGAGGGGGTGCATCCGGGTGGAGAACTGAGAGGCACGGGGCGGGAGCTGGGCCTTCATTCATTTCCCTAGGAGAGATGCGCCTTGATTTCCCCACCTGTGGCGTGGTAAGCCTGGGCGGAGGAAGCAATATTGCAACAAAATCATTGGTAGAGCCCACCGAAGTGTAGAGAGGCCCCAGGGGAGTCAGGGAAAGACAGGGGAGGGAAAGAGGGGGCTGAGCTGGGGTTCGGCTGGCAGTTCCTGTGCCCTCCAGCACCCGTAGGGGGCAAACATCTAGCTTGACCCTCTTGACCCTTCCCTGCGGAGCATCACAGTGAGAGCAACAGGAGAGGGGATGAAGGATGTAAAGAGACACCTGTGCCTTGTCCCTAACCCCTGGGCTGGAACGGGCTCCAAATGTTTTGCTCCTCCCATCTCTCTCTCTCTCTCTCTCTCTCTCTCTCTCTCAGGACTGACAATTGGTGCATGCTGAGGGGCTCTCTCTCTCCAGAGCTGCAGAGAGTGTGGGTTCCACCATGCTGGCACCAGGCAGTGGCCCAGAGCAGAGGAGCAAGCTTGCCCTGCAGTGGAGGCAGGTCTCCTGTGAGTATGGGCCCAGCATGGGGGCGGGGGCAGGGGCGGTGCATCTGACAGAATGACAGCTGATGTCTGACCTTCCTGGATGCCCAAAGCCTCGCTTTGGAGGCTCAGATTCATGGCCTTGCTAAGTAACAACAGTCCATGCCGAGTGCTTTCCTGAGGCTGGGAGACAGAGGCTGGACAGCTGGTTCTGCCTGATGCTTCTTGTTCCCTGGCAGTCACAAGCCAAGAGTTCTGCTGGAGAGTGGTCCAGCTTCACTTTTAGCTGGGAATCTGTAGTATGTGTAGCATGGGTTGAGAAGAGGCAGAAATCACCTCCACCTGGGTCGCAGCCCCAGCCAGCCTCGGCTCTAAGGGAAGCTGCAATCCCACTTGGCCTCAGCCATCCGTCTGCTGGATGAACCCAGAGGTCCCAGCAGGATCTGTATGCCGCAGTCTCCCCAGCTCTGTGGAGGCACTAGTGAGCTCTTAGTGTGCAGCAGTGGAAGAAAGGATCGTAGGGAGCAGGTCCGTTCCTCCCTGCACACACGGCACACTAAGGTCACATGCTAGTGAAAGCAGCCTTGTCCATGAAAATTCTCTTCAAAGGGATAAGGCCAGCAGCCATGGCTGGTTTGCCCACGGCTACACAGTAAGAACTAAGAAATGGCCTAAAGGGACATCGCTCTGCCTGACCTCCCTTGGCCTTCGGTTCAGTTGCCCTAGCATGGAGCGGCCTGAATTATTCACCAGGTGAATGGCTGATCCGAGGGGCTCAGATCCCTTTCATCCTAGGATCACTCTGACACCTCTCAGTGCAGGATTATGTTTTCTTGTCTCTAGAGCTTTGTAGCAACTCAGAACTTGGCGGAGGTGGGGTGCGGGGAAAGGAGTCATTTTCTCCCTGTCCAGCTGCCAGTTTAGTCACCAAGTGTGTGGAGTGTGGCTCCTGATACTGCTTGTCCTTCTCAAGGGGTACTGATGGGTTGAGTCCCTCTCCTCTCCTCTCCTCTCCTCTCCTCT